TATATATATATATATATATATATATATAAACTGGAGAAGGCGATGGGCAAACTCAGAAAGCTAGCCGAGAAGATATTAGAAAGATAAGATATTAGAAAACAAGAAAGAGAAAGTCTATGACACGCAAATGTTAGGGGTTCAGTATTCACAGCCGCACGGTAACAGAAGTTTTCGAAAATGTAAAGTTCTAATAGCTTACTGACTCAGTTTGCACTACTTGAATTGTGCCTGTTAGCATAGATTCATGAAATAGGTTATTAGAACTGAGCAAATATGTACTGAGGTCTACGTTTTGTCAATTGTTGAAACCTTTAGTTACTAATTAAGCTAATGATGAAAATGGAAATCAATACAACAAGCAGAAAAATGGTTTCACTTTCGCTTTATTTAACATTCCCAGTATGAGAAGGAACTTATTAATATCCGTCAGATCGAGAGAATGATCGCATTCACGCCACTACTCACATGCGATTCCCACCCATTTTGCAGCGAAGCAAAAGGTACCCACGTTCATAAATCTGAAAATTCGATTGGAAATATAGTTTTAATTATCACAAATTAAAATTGGATTAACCTATTAGAAATATTTCTTCTGCATATTCGGTCCTTCTAAATTACCATCATTGTTCTTGTGACATTAAATGCGAATAATAAGTAGATTAATTTCTGACTAGAAATGCAAATCACAGCTTGTTAATTGATCCTTCTTCACTTGCCTTAGTGAAGAAGTGAAGTGAAACATTGATGATGAAGGGATTAATGACTGGTATGGCGAGTTTGTTTCATGTATGGAATTCGCAACAAGTGATAAGATTAACACTTCTATCTTCCTTTCGTCAGGCATGTGGTTGTGGAAAAAATGTTACCCTTGTGCTCACGTTGTGTTTTACAGCTGTACGTACTGAATGTTATCGCACACGTTTCGTTCACGTTCGTGCAAACTTTTGTCAACCAGGCAGATTACAGCGTGCATAATATTTTGATACGAAACGAAAGAAGAACGTGATAAACTTGTGAGACTACAAAGCACGTATTTTCTAGCATTAGTCACGGTTACGCAATACTACGATATCGCAATTTCTGCCCATATTGACACATTTCAACCATCACAGGCAAAACAAATCCCGCAAACCAAAACTCCGATCCATATGCGACAAACATTATCCTTATCGATGAGACGTAATGCAATCAGATATCTCGTGCAAGACTCGCGAAAAAGAAGCTCGGGAAATTCGAAATTTCAATTTCGAAGATTTACAAAATCTATGCGAAACTATTCATATTTTCAAAAATTGTATATCAAAAATTGACAATTAAAAATTTAATTTTGAAGAGCAGATATCACCAAGTACAAAATCTCTCATTAGTATTGGAGTTTCCTTTGTTAATTTTCTGCAATTTGCGAAAATACAGAGATTATTCCAGAGCATATTCCAGAAAAAAAGTTAAAGAAACTAGGTGCTACGGAATGGCACTGACTTTCCCGAATTAGTTTTCTATTTCCTTTGGTCTCGGCTAGCTATACGAACTTCCACATCTTGCCAGCTGCAATCAATCGCCGCCCAAAGTTCATTTTTTGACATTTTCTTCATGTTTCGGTTTCATAATAATAGAACGAAAATATTATTTCAAGAATATTGAATAAAAGTAAACCAACATGGCAATTTCTTTGAAAATTTTGGAGCTAATGTTAAGAAAACGGTGCTTAAGCGCTACAATAAATTCAAAAATTGAAGCACTTTTTAACAGAAAAGTCATGAGTTTTAGCAAAACTTCATTTAAAGTCACTTTAACTCATAAATACAATAGTATTTACAAATTTCTGGATATGTGCATATTACTGACGAGAGAAATATTTAAAAAATGTCATTTGTGTATACGAGAAAGTAGAAATTAAAACCAATTTTATCAGTTTAAAAATTTGAAATTCGCGCCAAAACGTGATGGAAAAAACGTTTCCCCCTCATTCGGCTATATTCCATGGAACCGTTATTAAGACTCTTTTAATTGCCTTTATTTCAAACAAATATTACCCGAAAAAACCCTTTTTTCAAAAACTTATACATGACCATATTAAATGTATGATTGTAGAACATTTATTTAGAAAATAATACATATATTAAGTGTATGGTGCTATGGTTTTTGTATGCTATAATTTTTGTATAAGCTATGATTTTTGTTGCCATTTTCGAAAAAGATAGAGTTCACAAAAAACAGCACCTACTCCATTTTTTTACCATTCTCTATTCGAGAAAAATGAAAGAAAAAATTAGAGGCAATTCGTAGTCAAATATTTTTATTTACTTATATTTTACACCAAATTACTTGAAAACTAGTCATATTTTCAAAAAAATTAAATGTCTTTATTTAAAGAGTTTCTCTATGAAGAACAGATTTTATTAAGAACAAATCATTAACTTAAATATTGTAGTTGTAGGAAAGAACAGAAAATTATTTTCTCTTTTGTATTTAAAAAAATTCAGATCAACGAAAATGCCACATGCGACATTTTTAAGCATCATTTGCTCTATCTGAGGGGGTAAAATAGAATAAAAACCGACGTGCCGATCTGAGTCACTGCTGTGGCATCAGCTGATGCCCTGAGGCACTGATCATTCATTCCGCGATTGTTACCCACGGCTTATGTACGTGCTTCGCAACCCTAGCACGTGAACGGTGGGTTAAAATTTGTAGTTTAATAATATGCGTACTATTAGGACTTAAGAATAATATGTTATTTATACATAATATGTGCTCATTTTAATATTCACAAATTATGAAAACATGATTTAAAAGTACTTAATATGCTAGGTAGAAGTCTAAATTAATTGAAATATTTTTAATCATGTATCATGCACGTATTTCTCGAAAAAAAAAACAACTACCGAAACAAGCAAACATACACGGAAAACATATAAATTCTTAAAATGAATTACCCAAGAAATATATATTGACAAGTTTAAAACTCTGAGAAAGTTAAATAAAAATATGCATTTGCATGTCAATCTTGCCTCCAATCATATAAATTACTCATGTTTTACTGTCACTGTATATCTCAAGATACATTGTCATTAACTGGGGAACTTCGCAACGTATCATGTGTGATACATACATATTCTTAAACGTGAAGTTGCTAAACAAGAAATATATTACCGTTTTCCTCTTCTGTTTGTTGACCACGATAGTAAATAATTTATCGCTACTTTTTTCTCGAGTTAATATTTCCTAGGCAATTTACGGGCTAGGTAGCAAACATTTTTGTTTGTTGGTAGATAGCAAACATTTTTGAAGGCTGAATTGATATCTGACCTGGCTGAACTAGACTATCCTAAAACTGAGCAGCGTGGTTTTGACGCAACGCTATTTTCATGACTGTCCCGTTCCGTGATAACAATTCTTAAAAAGGAACTAAAATACTTTGTACATAACACAAATTGTGCACAAGGGACGTCCAACTTAAGCTAGAACAAATGCGTATCTGGAAACGAAATTTCTAATATTATGAATGGTTTGACTCAGGATGTTATTTAGTAAATGAGGTATACTATGTACCATGGGGTGAAATCGCGTCACCTCGGCCCAAGGGCCTGGTTTGATAATTATTCTCCAATCTCGAATTGAAATAAGAAGATCTGTAATACTTATTTCATAAATATTTAAAATATTTTTTAACCTTCAAAGTCTTGATCTACCGCGAGCAAGCATGTTTGAGTTGAGTTATAGCTAAGAAAGTGAAGTTAGCGAGTTTGTTAAGTTCGAAGATAGTGTTTTTTAATGCACTAATGCAAGTGAATGTTTAAGAACATGATGTCGAGCAATCGTTTGAAAAACGTGTCCTTTTACAAAATAATATTCGGTGATTATAATTACATGTCTTTCATTGCATTTTGTTTTTTAAATTAATGCGGATATAAGCAGTTTCTGAGAAAGACAACTACAACATACATCTTCCAATTTTCGTAAATATATAACCTTTCAATTACTATTCCAAAAAAATATTTCTATTTGTGTTTACCATTTAATGAATTGTAAGAGTAATTGTATTGTTCCAGAATTTGTGAAGTTCCGATATTTCATTTGTGTTACTGGCAGAGAACTAATACCGAAAGACATTAAAAAATATTGGAGGGTAAGCGATTTTCCATATAATGTATATGTTGTACTTTTCTACCATTAGTAAAAGGGTAAAAGGTCCCACTGTGCAATTGCACACAGTCCGATGTGGTCCATAGGGGATGTGAAGGTAGGGCTCTACCTATTCGTTGCCGTCGGCACACGGAGGAGGATGTGTAGCGAGCACAACGAGCAATCGAGGCCGCCTTCTCCCCCAGGAATGATCCCGGTACTCACTGGGAATGGAAGCTGAGTCGACCTCAGAGCCGCCGTGAGTGGAAATCACCAGATAAGAATCCGAACCTTCGTCGAAATTTGAAACTGGATCTTTCAGATCAAGAAGCCCATGCCCAACCACAGAGCCAGCGCGTCTCCTTCCAATCCTCAGTACAGCTCTTCATTTCGAGCGATGTGGTCGCGTGGGTTCAGCTAGCAACCATTCTACTTCAGAGCTCTCCGCCGCTGGGCAGCGCCGAATACTCACGCAGGCGATGATCTGCGAGGGGTGGTAGCTGACGCCGCCCTCCCGCTCCACCTTGGCCTCGTGCGCGCGTTCCGGGTCGCCGGCCACCAGCACCGGCGCCGCCGGGTCCGCCTGCCACACACACACACACACACACATACATAGAGCCCACGTAAGGCGCAGAACGTCATCATGCAAACGAATTTCCGCATTCTTTACAAACAGTAGGCAATCTGCATTACCAATTTCCAATGCGTACAGAATTTGAAAGTAAACTGGGTAGCCTCCGACCATGTGAGAGGTGTCCATGGTTTCGTTAGATGCCCAATAACAAGTAAAATCCAAAAACAACGAAACTGTTTCAATTTTCAATAAAATAAGCAATTAAAAAAAATATTTATTGATTATTACAATCAGAGGTGGCTAACACGTGTACCAAACTCAGCGCTTCGGTCCGTAGGGCCGCGGGTTCGAGTCCCGCCCTAGACATGATCGTTTGTCCGTTGTCTCTCAAATGTATTATTGCGGAGTGCCTCGCGTTCTGCTGATCACAGATACGAGGAGCCCGCAAATTGTGTTAATGTCTAGTGTATGGTCGAAAATGCATCCCATGGAATGTAAAGGGTAACCGGCTGTCGGCTGGAAAAAGCCCTAAGAAGAAGAAGAAGAAGAAGAAGAAGAAGAAGAAGAATATTAATTATTACATTTTATTTATTTATTTTGCGTCGCATCGACATCTAGATTATTAGCAACTAAATAAATACAGTATTTTACATTTTACATTAACATTACATATTCAGTCATTACAGCATTATGGCTAGGTTTATGGACTCAAAACATACTGTACATTAACATTAAACATTTGTCAATTAGAATTGTTACAGAGAAGAGACAGCAATTACATTCTAATATGGTTAAAATAGTTGAAAACATATTTCGAAACAAAATTTTTTTACATTAATTTGGTGCCGTTCCTATGGGCTGAAATCGCTAAGACAGTGTCGTAGCGAATTCGGACCGAAGGAGTTTGAGCGGGTTTCAGATTCGCTTCGGGCACGGTTGTATTATGTTCCTTCCACCCCCTACCATCATCATATCGTGTCATCCTCATAGGTACCATACAGTTTCACGCAATAATGGTTGCTAATGACCTTAAAGTTGATGCGACCGTAAATAACAAAAAAAATTGATATTTATCATCAGTTAAAATAAAATTACAAATATTTGATTGAGTCCTTGCGCCCATTCTGATACTCAATGAGTCACTGCTTACGACATAGGTGACGTCATAATACAGCGAGGCTCCGAGGCTGCTCACTTCTTCGCTTTATTTGCTATTCGCGTGTTGACTTACGAAACAACTTTTTTGATATTCTTGATATGTAAAGAACTGTTGAACTAGGCATCCCTACAAAATACTCTAACATTGTTTTTATATTTGTGTGGACTTTTTTTGTTTAAATATTTAATTTATTGCAGTGTTACAGGACTGTATTTTATTAGTTTTTAGTGAATAGTAGGCGTGCTATTTTTCGGAAAACCATTTTGTGTATTTTTGTTCACCGGCATTTTTTGCTCCCACAGGCCACTAGTTAAGTGTACTGAAATTTAACCCGTGCGAATATTCCGCACTTTTTAAACCACAGTTTTCAAAGTGAAAATAGCTTCGTACTGAAACCCAAATTCGATCGTTCCTTACAACCCGTGCTGCGGATTTAAAGTATTCTTCAACAATCTAACAAATTTCCAAATATCTCTAATTTTGTAGATAACTGCATAAAAATCATAAGCTCTGGAGAAACAAAAAAAATTGAAGTGGCTTAGGACGCATGGTTTCCGAGTTACGCACGCTGACCTGTGCGTGTGCTCTGTGTGCCTCTGCAGTGCGTGTGCACACTGAACGTGTGCCTCAGTGTTATGTATATTGCGGTTTGCATCGGCGCCTAGCCATTTTCTTTACAATATTTTCCAATTTTTTAAAGCGATTTTTACGTAATAGACTGTACATCAATGCGGTGAATATTAAAAAGTAATTATACGCAATAAAAAGTTGTCGAAAAGTGGAAGGGTGAGGCGGATCATTCAATGAAGATTATCTTTGCGGCATTACACTGTTTGTTATGAGTAGAATGGAATCGCCCATTATTTGTATCAGAAACAGTGGGAAAGAAATATTTAAAAAAGTTCTTCAAAGCAATATAAACAGTGCATTTAACTACTAATGATGTGCTAATAATGTGCTAATAACTGCACACGCGCAAGAAACAGGAAACAATAAAGAGAAAAACGAAAAAATAGAATACGAAAGAAAAAGAAAGAATGAAATAAAAAATAAGAAAGTAAGGGAAGAAAAAAGAAAAGTGCAAGAAGAACGAGAAGGCATGAATGAAGAAAAAATTGGAAATAATAAAACGTAAAGAAGAGACGAAGGACGTAAATACGAGAGAGTAATGAGTAAGAGTAAGAAAGAGTACTCACGGGCTCCATAGCGCGCAGCTTGCTCAGGAGGTCCTGCAGGCGGCCTTCGAAGCCGGGGGCGAAGCACTGCGGGTCGACCGCCACGAAGCACTGGCCCAGGTCAGCCGGCCGGTCCTCGCCACCCATCCACTTGCGCACGTCCGGCCCGTACGTCGCCCCTGCGCAACGCGCGCTTTCAGCCTCTTGCACCCGCACCCGCCCCGCCCTC